AAGATCATCTTCAAAGCAAGCTCTTTTAGCTGACCGGTAGGTAGACTGACCGGCAACTAATGGGAATAGTTTAATTTATACATGTGCACCCACTTGGTGGACGCGCCTGAAGATTTTCTCCACATAGCGGGCAGGGCTCATTGCAGCAGCAATAACGGTGACATGGAAGTCGATCACGTTGACACCACCAATCATCAGGGTCAGTTGGCTGGCCACAGAGACCACAGGGAACAGCATCGCTTGATGTCAAACGCCACCGTGGTTAGTTGCGGTTGCCATCTAACACCAGAGGCTGGTTGTCCTGTACACTAATTGCATTTCGACGCAACATCAGCTGGCTTTGAACAATCAGACGCTTCACGCACTCAGCAGCCTTACGCGATTCCCGCAGCTTCAGTCTGACAACCAACCGATCTAGTTGCTTGTGCAGACCTCCGGGAAACGTCCAAAGAGTGCTATCTGCTGCGTTCGAGAAAAGCACAAGTGACTATATCTGTCACCCTCCGATTCCACCAGCAGCACGCGACCGCACCCTCGAAACTTGGCTATGACGGACGACATGTCATCTAAGAAACCGACTAAAAGGTAAACATTTGACGCGATAGTTACGCACATTCTCATAGCTGATCGACATTTGACGCGACGGTTACGCACATCTTTGATAGTTAGTAACTTTCCAAAGTGGTCGGCGACGCACAGCCGAGTTTCCAATGACGGAGCACCATATTTCAAAAGGGCAGAACGCTCCTTTAATTCATCATTTGTCAGTCGCCGGTTGATGGAGAGCCTGTCAAAAATAAACTTGCTGCGTGGATGGTTGTGCTCCAGGTAGTAGGCAGTAACCCTCAAGCAGTTATGGTACCGGCGAACGTACCCAGTTAGCACGCGTCCGCTCCTGGGTGCAGAACCTGTGCGGAATCTGTGCAGAACTTCTGCACTAGTTTTTGGCTTTTAAGCTTCAAGAGCTTGAGTCGTTTAATAGACATCAAAGCTTCGCTTCTTTATTCACAATAATGAAAAACCACAATAACTTGCATTTTCGTGTGCCTAGGAAATGCGAACGGTCAACCGATTTAAGTGGTTTTGTTTTACTGTGCGGCGCCATTGCTCGCGGGACGCTCTGCCTTCTGCTTGTCCTCACGTGCAGCTGAGAGTGAGTTTTGTTGTGCTTTCATATGTTTTATTCCTGGTGTGTTTACGTGAACGAAACCGTAAAAAATATTTCTCATTTCAAGTAACCGTCAATGCGTCCGAGATTTGTTCGTGTTGCTCGCAAAGGCTCTTCAAGAACAACGCTATATAGGAAAGTACGAAAGGCGGTTGCGGCAAGTGGCTGTTTCCGTTGCCCGACTGATGGACGAACTCAGATACATTTTCCCGTCCCTTCCGAGGGATACACGGACCGTAATGAAAACCCCGCGTCGTTGCTACGTGCGACAGAAGGCCGGTGGCATGTATGTCCACCTTGGGTTGAAAGCAGGTTTTCTGCAACTGCTCCGTGAGATTCAGACTACGGTTACAAATATCGAAATTCAAATGAACGTTGACGGTACTCGGGCTTATAACAACTCGCGTACTCAAGTGTGATCCATGCTCTCCCGGATAATTTCACCCTTTCTCGATCAGCCTTTCGCCGTTGGAATATACTGTGGTAAGCAAAAACCCAATGATGCTCATCAGCTGATATCTGACACAGTCGCTGAGTTGACAGACGTCTCTCTGGGGTGTCTCTGGGGTTTACAATACTCACACCGTCCGTCTTCAGTGCATTATTTGTGATAGTCCTGCTATGGCCCTTCTGAAGCAAGTGAAGGGACATACAGGATATTATGGCTGTGATTATTGTACACAAGAGGGTGTGCACATTGGCGCACGTATGACTTTTTCCTCGTTGACAGCTCCCTTGCATCGTGACTATGATTTCCGGACCAGAAAGCAAGAGGAGCACCATATAGGTCCAAGTCCGATGGAGGAGTTAAATTTTCCCATGACTGACGGTCTCCCACCAGATTACATGCGTAGTGTGTGTCTTGGTTTAGTTCGGAAATTTCTCATCTTACTTAGAGCTATGCCAATTGGACACGAGGCCAGGCTTTCTTTGGAGTCCTGGAATCTGCTGAATGATAACATTAAGCAACAGAGTTTGGCTCTGAGTTTTGATTTCCCCCGAAAATGTAGAGGTGTCGTAGACCTGGATCGGTGGAGGACATCTGAGCTACGACAGTTTCTTCTGTACGTAGGACCCGTTGCGTTGTTTTATATCTTACATCCTGACGTTTACGAATGTTTCATGTATTTTTCGTTAACCACTTTCATAAGCTGTCCACCTTTTTTCACAACATTAGGCTGATTTTTTAATTGATGTTTCCAAGGTTGCTGTGTCAAAATTTGCTTCTATTTTTGGTCCCAGCCATTTAGTGTACAACATACACCTCTTCTCCCATTTATTCAATTTCGTCAAGATTTATGGTTGCTTGGATCGTTTTTCCTGTTTCCCCAATGAATCGGAGCTGGCGCATTTGAAGCATTACATACATGGGCCAAAACCACCGGCTGTTCGGCTTTACCGCCGACTGGCCGAGCGTGTGGGATTGGATGCTGTCGAAAGGAAGACATTTTCGGGTGATGTTGGTTTGTGACTGAGGCCATCAGCCACTGCAGGATTTCATAGGTTTATTCATAAGGATGTCGTTTTTTCGAAAATCTTTCCCGACAACTGCATTTTGCTTGATGGTCAACAAGCTGCCACTGTAGATTTTTCTGGAGATACTATTGAGTACCAGAAATTCAAAACTGTTCTTCCGTTTTGCACTCACGTACTGATATCGACAGACGTTTTAGTTTTTCAATGCTCCGACTTGCAACACACTCGACTGTTTGCATCAGTCGACCAAATATCTTGTAAATGCTTAAGTTTTTCCTGCAGAGACACTCGTATATACTTCCCCATTTTGCATACCCTTATCGATTAGTCAGTAATCTTACCACTGGCACTCGACACATGTATGAATTTATTACTTGTATTACTCATTAGTTCGCAAAATATATATACATATTTATGCTGGTGTTGTGTTATTCCATCAAAGCTTCCGTTTTTATGTGGATATTTTCCAGTTTAATATCGTAGTTGGAAGTTGTTTTTCAGCCATGTACGCTGTTCTCATATTTGCAGACAACTCGGTTGGCATAGTGCATGAATCATGGTACTTACCGCCCGATTCAGTCCTTTGGCCCTCGTGCACAAACAGCACTCTTTATGCCAACTTACTGACGGGTACTTTACCAAAATGTCCACTCAATTTGTGCACGTCCGAAGTGTATCGGCAGTGCAGTAAGTTCATTTTCAGTTAAAATGTTCTAGAAACTTTTCCGGATGCACTGAGTGCTCGGCAGGAAGCCCTTGACTCAGGGCATACCTCCTCTGCGGAGCAAAACGATGAACGGCTGGTACGTCAATTCAGGCGAAAACAGTATGTTTACCAATCGTATTACAATGGTTGCAGTACAAAGAAACGGCTGCTGTCTGATTTTACAGGCGGGTCGGATCGTGATTCCAGTGGTGACACCACTTTGTTTGCGAACATAGTCATAAGCCCACCAACTCCAAAAAGATTGTAGGTCCTCCCGCACCTACCAACGTTTCA